CTAATATTATTCGCACTTTTTCATCTCATATTTCTACTAATTTTGTTGTCAATAAGTATCTACTCATCAAATTTTTCGATAAAATTATTTGTCATATTGCTAGTGCAATAAACAAGATCGTAAAATTATTTACGTGTAGTAGATGATGAAAAAATGTTATTTTATTAAAAAAATAATAAAATAGTAAAATCATTTAAAGAAATAACTGAAAAGTCACGTTACGTGTCAAGAATCTTGAATTCGAAAAAAATACATCTTGTTGAAGTTTTTAACCGATGAAATTCGTGTTCAAATATATTTTATTTTAAATAAGACAAGATTTCGAGCTACTAGAGCTCAGTGGTATGTATGAACGACTTCTAATCACTGGTTCATCTGTTCAAATCTGATAGTCATCACTTAATTTAAAATCTAATCCATTTACCAGCGAAGACTATGACCATCAAAAAATGTTGATGATGACGACTCAGTTCGAATCTGAGCTGGATTATCATATTTTTTTCAAAATATTTGTTTTTTTTATGAAACCCGTTTCCGACGCGTTTTGAGACAAAAAATATTTACATAGGCAGTCTACTTCGTTAATACACATATATGTTTAAATCAATGCTGTTTTGTATGTTCCTCATGTGATCAAAATATAAAAGTCATAGTCCTCATTCGTAGTTTATTCATAAAAAGCATGTAATAAATATATACTCAGTTGCACCCAAAAAAGATTTAGCAAACAGCGAAAAGAATATTGGCCATATACTAATCTGCTTCAAAGGTTGTGTGTGTACTTGAAGACGAGCTTATCGCAAATAAACGAAAGGATTACAAAATATTTTAGATACATACATTTATTTAGTTGATTCAAAGATGAGAGAAGTATTCGTTAAAATCGAATCACCATTAGATTTTATCTTCATGTTCTAAAGCAATAGTTCAGCTAGTCGTCAGTGCATGGTTTTTTTCGAGGCATAAGTGAGTAAATGAAACACAAGGAGTTTGTTTTGTTAATTGGTCAATGTCATTCGTTTTCGAACATAGTTGTTCTTTATTTTTGTTTTTATTATGCTAAAAAGACTGTGATCCTATGATCCTATCAGTACATATGAGTTGACAAACGAAGAACATGGAAGAGAAACAAAGCAAGAGCAACAAAAAAAAGAAAGTAAGATAATCATAACAAAAGGTTGAATAACAAAATAGTGAGATCAAGAGAAGAAACGTTAACACATAGAAACAAAGAATTCAGGAAAATCCTCAAGGAGTTGAATTTCATCCATCTCATATATAGGAGCAGAAGAGAGAGGGAGGATAGAAGCCGTTCAATCAACAATTTTTTCAATTATTGAATGATGAGTAATAAACCTTTTTGATGTTCTTAGACACTTAATAGAAAATTGTTTTTCAATCCAAATCTGTCTAAATACGTTCAAACTAGCTTTTTCAAACAGTAATTCACCGTCGATGGAGTTAGCTAGAGCTGCAAGGTATTTCACCCAATAAGAATAGCATCTCTCTTCTGCTCCTATATATGANACATCGGTGGAGGTTTATGGGCGCCATTAGCTGCTACCGAAGGTTGGTTAGCGCTGGAGCCAAACTATCGAGGATCAACAGGATATGGCGATCAGTTTCTTGGCGAAATTCGCTATCATCCATTAACTCGGCCTGGAAGAGATATTCTGTCAGGCATTAGTAGTTTAATTGAAGATGGTATCATTGATCGGAATCGTGTCACCATTGGAGGTCATAGCTATGGAGGTTTTCTAACGAATTGGCTGATAACGCAAACGACACAGTTTAATGCTGCTCTCTCAGGTGCAGGATCGATTGAGCAAGCATCTTTGTGGGGTACCATGGACCTTAATTCGCTTATCGATTATATTTGGGGTGGATCTCCATGGAATTCATCAAATGCCTATATAGAAGAATCACCAATTTATCAGTTTGGCAAAGTACGCACACCAACACTTATTGTGACTGCAGAAGATGATGTACGTGTTCCTGTCAGCCAAGGTTATATACTGGAACGTGCACTCCGTTACCTCAATGTACCTGTGCAATTATTAATTTTCCCAAATGAAGGACATTCGATGGCAAATAATCCGTGGCATATAAAAATTAAAGTTCGTGAAGAACTAAAATGGTTACGACAATATGGTCACACAGCTTTCGTAAAAACGTAACTATCAGAAATAATACCTGTATTGAACTGATATCCGCTTATAATTACTTCTAGAGTAAACAATGCCAATAGCATTAATTTAGCAAATCATTTCGTCTAATAGAGAGATGGTTAGTATGTTTATGAAAAAGAAATCATTCTTGACAATACATAGAAACCATGTCGTTTATTTCAGTGCCTAATTCATTAGTAAAAAATTTTTTACTATACATAAACATAAATTTTCCTGGCTTTTTTTCCTAGAATATACTTTTTTAAATACATTATAGCAATGATTTACTGAAAAAAAAGCAGAAAAACATATTTCATCTGTACAAATTTCATTTTCAATGATCTATTTCATGGCGTTTCTCTTTCTTGCTTGTGTAACAATATAAAGGTAATGAAACAGCACAATTCATATTATGTTGAAGTTTATTACTCTTCTGAATAATTTTTTGTGAATGTCAACAAGGGAGTGTGCAACTTGCTTACCGTGTTGTTGAATGACTTCAACGATTTTTCATGAATTGATAATCTATTTCTTTTGATCATTTTAATTTAAAAAAGAATAAAAATAGAACTCGTAGCTAATAGATTAAAATCTCGAGTAGGCAATATAATTCTATTTACTTCAAGGGTGTGGGTGTGGGGTGTGCACTCTAAAAAAAATCGGTACTCTACCGACCCTTAATAGTTTCGCATTTCTGCACGGAACGATTTTAAGTTCCGTGGACCGCAAAACGTTTCGTGGTTTGCGTTCAGAACTATTTTAAGTTCAGCGGATATCAAAAAGTTTCGCAATTCAGCTGCGGAACTACTTATAGGTTCAGTAAAATTCCTTTTGGTTTCGTAGATCAAGCACAAATCCTCTGATAGTTTCGTAACATCGAAGAAGGTTTCGAATTACGCTGACGAAACCATTGATGGTTTCGAAACATATCTAACGGTTTTGAACATTTTCTGCAAAACGATTGATAGTTTCGTAGAAGTTTAAAAGGTTTCGCATTATTTGTGCGGAACTTTTAGACACCTTCGAATCGGCTTCAAAGTTTCGTATCTTTTATACGAAACTACTGATGGATCCAAAAACTGTTGAAAGGTTTAGTATACTTTATGCAAAACGCTTGATGGTTTCGTAAACTCAAGAACGGTTTGGAATATTTTTTACGAAACGACTGATAGTTTCGTAGAGGTGGCAAAGGTTTTGCATTAATTGCGCAGAACTTTGCGACACATTCCAATCTGCTTTAAGGTTTGGTTTATTTTATACGAAACCCTTGATAGTTCCGTAAACTGTCGAAAGGTTTGGAATATTTTCTACGAAACGTCAGGTAGTTTCAAGCACGTTGCAAAGGTTTAGTATTATTTCTACCGAACTTTTTGACACTTTCCAATACGCTGTAAGGTTTGGATTTTTTATGCGAAACCCTCGATGGTTTCGTAAACTCAAGAACGGTTTGGAATTTTTTCTACGAAACGACTGATAATTTCGTAGAGGTGGCAAAGGTTTTGCATTGATTGCGCGGAACTTTACGACACATTCCAATCTGCTTTAAGGTTTGGTTTATTTTATACGAAACTCTTGATAGTTCCGTAAACTGTAGAAAGGTTTGGAATATTTTCTACGAAACGTCTGATAGTTTCGCAGATTATCGAAAGGTTTTCCAATTTTCTTATTTAAACTTCCACGGTTTCATTAAAAAGTAACACGTCCTGTATACTACCCACGAAATTTTATGTGGCTCTGAGCACTATGGAGATTTTTTTTACTTTCTCGTAATCGTGCGATCTAAGTATTACCTTTGGTTTTGTCTTATTTAAGAATATTTATTTGCAGAGTTATGTAGGTCTCCACAAAGTCTACCAGTAACAATCGTAAGAATGAGAGAGGGTTCACCGAGGAACGGTAGTGCGTATTCATACTTCTCAGCAACAAATCAAAATGAGCAATCAAGCAATAAGAGAACTCGAAAAACGATACAGAAAACACGAGGGTTACTTAGGAAACCAATAAATAGTTAAAATAATCTAGCGAGCTGCGTGACAAAAATGTTCAGTAGGCAAAGAAATAAAAAGACGCATGCTACCAACAATTAAAAAGCTGTTAGCGCAATCCCTTACGGGATTAAAAATGTGAAACACGATGGATCTATTGTTACTAATTAAATGAAAATCCTTTTGATCCATTTCCTTACGACACATTTGTAGCTGACCGTATATCTGATGCTTTACAACTACAGTTTCTCTGTCACGGTCTGTGATGGGTACCCGGGTTCTCTGTCACGGTCTATGATGGGTACCCNTGTCTATGTAACTGCTGGGCGTCATTATGTTTAACAGGTCTAGTCTTCTTCTCAAAAAGTTCTAGTATATGACTAATCCGAATATCGTTTGGAGTCTTTAGACCCCATCCAGACTAAGTAACTGACTGGCATCATTCCATTTTGTTATGTGTAGTCGTTTTTGCAAAAAAGACTTGATATGCGGTGCAGTCTGGATGCCCGTGAAAAATAGATTTTAAATCGAAAAAGGGAAGGCATCTGTGACGCTGCACGTAACAGATTATAGTCTTATGTAATAGTTTAGTCCGGACTAGTCTAGTTTATATAAATATAAGCAGAAGGTTAGATTCGAACATGCATGCAATATGTAACTTACCCATCGTTTAATCGATTGAACTAAATAATTGAGTAATCAACTTCTATGTGTCAGTACACATTCTGAAATGTTATTTAACACAGTTTTACTCAGAGTTTTTCTAGTTGCGATATAAATAAAAAATATATATCATAAAATCCAAAATTATATCAATAAGCCTGAGTGAAGTTACTTCAGAACTTAAAAAAAATTTTTTGATCTTCGATATTTCAGAAAAATTACTTTGGATTGTAAAAATAATTAAAATTGAGAAGCAATTTAAAAATAATGTAAATTAAAACAATATTTTTTTCATATAATGATTGATATTTATTTTAGTATAATTTTTTCGATTTCAATTTTAAAATAGACTACAATTATTTAATTTAAATCTATCTTTAAATTCAAATTTTCAGAATTGATACTAAAAATAAAATGTAATTTTCATATAGAAATATTAAGATTTTTTTTCCGAATAAAATTTTTCCTTAATTCCTTTCGCAACTCAGAAATTTTATTGCATATTAATAGGTAACTTCAGTTAAGACATAAACCACTACTTTGTAACTCTATCTGGTTTCTTGTGTTTCATCATGTGGTTCTGGTTTCGATACGAACCAGTCCAAGAGAGTTGCGTAGAGATTAAGGCCGAAGCAATCAGGACATTTTGAAGATTTGAGACTATAGTCTGGGTGTGAATTAGTACTACGTTCTCAAAAATGGACCCGTCATGAACAACACAAATGACGCTTCCACTAGTCCATATCACTCTTGAACATAGTCCTGACTAGTCAGACCCTCAATATTGTCCGACCAAACGTTCGAATCTACCTATGTTCATCTATCCTTCTGACTTTTTTATTTTATGAACAAGTCTAAACAATATAAATAGACTAGACTTGACTGGTGAAAAAGACGTTCTCTACTTGACATAGAGTGACTTTTACAAGCTATGGACTACTCCAAACGCTAAAGCATGTCATTTTGTGTACAATATATTAGACATGATTACTGCTGAAGACACATTAGACTAGTCCGGACGTGATTTCCAGAAAATTCCGACTAGTCCAAATATAAATTGTGACGTCTCATGCGGAATAGACTAGACTTGACTGTCAAACAAAATATTTTGGACTAGACATGACAGACAGTACTGACGTTTCAGACTAGACATGTTGCCAGTCCTACCCCTTTTTTGCTCACCTGGGAAATCTTCAGTCTTTACGCTCTCAGTTTTTTCGAATAAAATATCGATTATGTACCAATTATTTGCAGAAAATCATATTAAATTATATCCAAAAATAACATACTTCTCAGATCTAAACTCATAAGATTTATTTTGCTGCTGAAGATGAAATACAAGTCACACAGAGTCGAGTTTAATGGCAACAATACCGCTATATGTGTTAGAACAGGTCATAATCTACTACATAAAACTAGATAAAAAAATTTCACGAATCTCATTTAATCGAATATACAATTTCATCGTTGCTCAGGAGTGGTAACTTTACGAATTACACTAAAACTAGCGTTCGACTATTTATCGAAAGATTAACTGAAAAACCTTTTATAGTATCATTTCTGTACATGGTGATATATCGATACTTACGCAATTGCGAAACGCTTTATTTCGGGCATGAAATCCATACGTCAAGTATAGAAAGATATTTTATTTTCCTACTGTGTTACTTGCCTCTACGAATCCAGTAGTAATCGTATGTGACAATAAAATAATGATTCAATAGATCCGTAAAGGGTTAGCAAAGAGATTAATTTCGGCATAGTGACACAAATGCCAGGCTCACAAATGACAGAATCACAAAATATCATGTAAATATTATTGAGAATAATTCTGTCAAATTATATCAAAGTATAACTTCTATAAAATACTTATTCCAGGTAGCTAGTGAAATCCAACTGTTTGGATACAATGTATATTCTTATATGACAAGGGAAAATACCAGAAACTTAGTAACATTCCTACCAGTACAAATGTTTTTTAGGACAACTTTCTTAACTGCTGCTGACGTTTTTAAATGAGCTTGAGAAATATTTTATAACTAGCGAGAGCCCGTGCATACTGCACGGCTGTTTTCTCCTTTAACGTTTGATCTAAGATGTTTAAGTTTTCATTCAGGAACAGACATACAGACACTCGATATTATGTATACAGATAGATAGCTCTACGGTCTCATACTCTTATATCACACATATTTTTATAATTCATGTTGTCTTCGGTCTTATAGCCTTGTATCCCTTGTAGCTATTGTAACTTTATTTCCTCATTGCCTTGCAACTAATTGCCTCAATCCCTTGAGAACCTATGGCTACCCCCATATTATAGCTTTTCATGTCCTATAGATGCACCATACAATAGCCCTT